TATATATATATATATATATATATATATTCAGCGTCAGGACAGAAGAGGAGTGCTACCCCGTATGTACAGAGTCGACAAACTAATGCCCGATCGTGACAAAACAGGAAAATATCAATTCCAGCTGATTTTGTTCCTACTGCAACAAGCGTACAAGGGCAGCAGCAACAGCAGCAGAAGGTGAGGCAGCAGCACCGGCAGCAGCAACAGCAAGCGTGCTTTGCTGCAATAATGAGGCAACCTACCCGCAGCTGCATGTACATTTCAAATCGCTTTTGTGTCTCTGGATCGGAGACAAAGGGGAGAAGTAGACTGTTGAGGCGGTGGCGCATTTGTTGAAGCTGCTGCTGCATGCGGTGCTGCTGGTTGCGGCGCAGCAGCTGCTGCTGGTGCTGCTGCAGCCAAGTAGGTTGCTGTGCTGCTGCTACTGCTGCTTCTTCAGTCCCCTCCTGCAACCAATGCACCTCCCTTCCTGCAATCTGCTGCAGCAACGAGCGGCGGCTGTCAGATGTAACACCGCCCCATAACGGCTGTCTCCTCCCGCCTGCATATGCATCTGCTGCTACTGCTGCTTCATCTGCTGCCGCTGCTGCTCGCGTCGGGCAAGCTGCTCCCATGAGCAGCCCGCCAGAGCTGCTGCTGAATCCGCGACCGCGCTTGTTCTTTTCTGCAGTTTGCATGCAGCTGGTGCTCTCTTGTGTATCTGCATCCAGGTCTTGGGTTCTTTCCTTTCCTACATCTGTCTCCTTCTCTGAATCTGACTCTTTGTCTCCTGTTGCATCTCTACTGGCAGTTGCGCATTCACCCCAACAGGCCTTCATATCCTCCTCTGTTTCTACATGGACACCACTGAAGTCTGCCGGGACAGCAAGCAGAGGCAAGCTGTATGAGCAACACACGCACACGCACCAAAAGGTTCAAATGGATGAATGAATATATAAGTAAATATAATTAAACAATATATGCATACACGTGGACTGCTCCACATCTTGGGTATCATATTTTGGGTTACTACATAACGACAATGCCCTTCCTTCTCCGTTATTCCTTTTCGTGTTGCTTTTTGGGGCCGTTGCATGCATGCAGCACCTTTGGTGTCGTTGGATTTGCGCTCACTCGCAGTCTAGTTGCAAAATCCATTCCCTCTCGTCCAGCGCCTCATCTGTCTCTGCTGCTGTCTCGTGCACGGCGGGGTGTCTCTTTTCTGTATACATCTCTGGGATGATGCTCTCTCTCTCCTCTTGAGGTATCCTTGTATGCATTGTCTCCCCTTCTAAGACTTCTACTTCTTCCAGTCCCTGTTGCTCCTTGCCTGTCTCTTCACTTGCCTCCAAGTGGCCCCCCTTGTCGCTGATTGTGTATAAGCCGCATGTTGGGGCTGTGCTGCTGTATAGACAATCTCCATCATCATCGTCATCAAGAGAATAGTTGCACAGATATCGTCGTCTGCTTTTGCTGCTACTGCTGCTGCTGCTGCTAGTGTAGGGGTTAGCGGGGTGAGGACGGCTTGCCGTTGCCTGCAGGTCCTGGTGGGGCTGCTGCTCGTAGAAACCCAGGCCTGCTTGGGCGGGTCCCAAGGGCTGCAGCCGCAACAGCCGCTGTGCTGCAGCCCACCCCCAATCATCATCTTCGGCTGCTGCTGCAGTTGCCTCAGCAGCAAGCAGCGACAGGACTGAACCCCCTGTCTCCTCTTCTCTGGGGGGCCCTTGTGTCTCCCGTGTACTCGCCTCCCCTGCACTGTCGCTAGCGCTGCTGTTGCTTCCTCTGTTGCTGTTAGCAGAACCGGAAGCAATATCAGGACTTCCTTGATCTAGGTGCTGCTGCTGCTGCTGTTGCTGGGCCCGCAGGAGCTGTCTCATCTCCTCGACGTGCGGAGGAAGCTGGGGGCCTCGTGTTGCAGCTCCCCTCCCTCCTTCTTGCAGCAACGCACCCATCCCTCTCGCATTGTTGCTGCTGCTGCTGCTGCTAGTTTTATTTGTATCTCGGAGTCGCCGCATGGCTCGCATCCACTGGTGACGCCGCATGGAGTGCATGCGCCATTGGGGCAAATTTGCACGTAAAGGTTCTCTTTCTGGCATTCCCAAGGAGGCAAAGAAGAAAACCACAAATACAAAGCCACGGACGCAAGATTTAAAGACACGTGGACATCGGCTTAAGTGGCTAATATGTGTGTGTATGTGTGTTCATGCGCATTACAGGGTACAGCTCCATTGTCTGCTGTATATTTATATTTAAACGGGTTCTGTTTTCATATAATTGATCCTGTTCTCTTTCTCTCAATCGCCTACCGTGAGCAAGATAAAAAGGCAGCGTCTCATCCGCCCCCTCAGCCCTAAACCAAGAAGAAGCAACACCAGAGGAGTTTACTGATGCGGCTGCCGCTGAGGGGGCCCCTCCCTCCCACTGGAAAGCAGAAGCTCTCCCCCTGGCAGCTCGCGCAGCGTGCTGCAGTCGAAGCAGCAAACAACAGCAGCACCACCACTACTATCAGCAGCAACGAAACATCAGCATAAAAACAAATCCGGTAAATAACAAGAAGCGGGGCAGCAGCATCTCAGCAGCAACAGCAACAACGAGAGAGCCCAACAACACATGCATCCCCTTGGGGCTGCAGCTTGCTTGTGTCTTGGCATAAATAAATAAACTATATATAGATAATGTATTTATTGATACTGTATATGTATCATCCTAAACAATAGAAAATACAACGGACCAAGAAAGAATTTGCATGAAAAGACAAGGGAACCCTGACCTTCTTGTCTTCCTCATCCATAAAGTCCTCAGGACGTCCCCCAAAGTAAGTCGCTCGAGATGAGCGCGAAGAAGAAAATTCCCCACAAGCGAAGTCTGTGGTGTACATACACCCAGAAGCAGCAACAGCAGCAACAGCACAGGCCCATGCCCTAGTTATTGATGAATAAGAAATACGTAGTATATATTTCTATACAAACTAGTTTGAGTGATGAATAAGAAGTACATAGTATATACAGATGTATAGTCCTATACAGATATCGAATTCAGCAAGTTATATCCACCTACAAAAGGACAAAAAATGAGGAAACGCTTTATCCCATACAGCAAATTACCTTCCGATCCGACCTCCTGGCGTTGCCGCGGTGGACGTACACCCCATTTAGGTTTGTAAGTAATTTGGGGTGTATCTTCATCTTCGGTTAGTTCTGTTTCCCCGTCCCAGTAGTACAAAGCAGCTTTTCTTTTAGCTACAGCGAGTTCGCGGCAGCGCTCCGCCAGTTTTTTTTTTGTTGCTGCTGTTTCAGCTGTTGTTGTTGTCGTTGTTTTTGTTGTTGCTGTTGTTGTTGTTGTTGTTGTTTTTGTTGTTGTTGTTGTTGTCGTCGTTGTTGTTGTTGCTGTTGTTGCTGTTGTTGTTGCTTCTGAGCCTTTCAACGTCGTTTCATGGATTCCTCCCAGCTCATTATATGCCCTTTGCTCCTCCTCTGCAGCATCAGCACGAGCTGCCTCTGTTTCTGCTGCAGCTGCTGCTCGTTCAGCCTTCCTAAAGGTCTCCTGGGTCCGGCGCGCTTCGGTTTTGGCAGCACGAGCTGCCGCAGCAAGCAGAAGCTTCGCCGGGAGCTGCTGGTCTCCCCACTCCCGCTGCAGCCACGGCTGCTCCCTGTACACTTGAACTTCAAGCTCTTCCAGAGAAAGAGGAGAAATCGCAGTGCCCAGGAAAGTGCAGCTCGGCAGAGGTAGCTGCGCAGGCAGCAGCCGCCCGCTCCTGTTGTTTCCAAAGGCTCCCGCCATTCTAAACCGTAAACCCTAACCCCTAAACTCCAATCTCGATGCAAAAGGGACCTCTTGTTAAGCGCAACAAGACGCAAACTAATAGTCAGATGAAGTTAGAAGGGTCAAACAAAACAAAGAAAGAAAGCTGCCCATTCTCCTACTGTCCGCAAACTCTATCACAGCTTCTTTGCCTTCCCTTCAAATAAAGGTCCTCACAAGTTGTGCATGTACACCTGGTAGGCTGCTGCTGTTCAGTGGTCGCAGCTGGCCTGGTGACCAGGCCAAGGTGGGCCCCCCGCCGAAGGCATGTTTATGCAAAGTTGTTTGAGAAGGGGGTGTATAGGCAGTTTCTCAAGCTTTTGGAGTGCAGCTGGGCAGTATATACAGCGGAAGATCCGACGGGATTTGCATGCATCGACCAGCTGCTAGTATGCGGACAAGGGCATTTCCTGTGTATTTAGACGCTGCGTTAAATCACAAAAATCAAGTGCATTTTAAAGAATCTAAATTCCATTCTAATTTATTTGTTGTTCCGGCCGCAGTTTGCAGCGAATGAAGACCGAATCGTCGGGGCCCCCATCTTCTCCCACTTGCCTCGGGGGCCCCCCTCTCGAACTTTTTCAACGGCAGCTGCTCCTTGAGTCCAAATATGATAAAATAAGCATTAAATAAATTACTTGCTTTCATTCAGCTGTACTTTTTAACCCCTGATATACTATCCCCCTCCCCACGGCACGCCGAATCCGCGCAGGTCCACACACACCTGCTGCAATCCTCGAGTGTACGGACAGCTCCTCAAGGGGACCTCCTCCGACTACAGGCAGCATTTTATTGCAATACAGAAATAATAGCCTTTTAGTTCGTTCATGCTCAACAGCAGCCTCAACTCCTGGAGAATAACAATCGGGGGCCGCATGCGTTTCCCAAACACGTCCAAGCGTTTGGTGTATGGGATTTAGGGTTTAGGGTTTAAGTCTTGGGGTTTGGAGTTCGATGGTTAAGGTGTTTTTCTGCATTGGCGGGCCCGATGGATTACTTGCTGAGCTTGGAAGGGGTGGGGGAGTTGGGAACGAGCAAGCAAGAAGACACCAGTAACATAATCACCCGCGACAGCAACGGCAAGTGCAGCAGCAGCAGCAACAGCAACAACAGCAGCAAAAGCACTCAGGGTTCTTCCTTTTCCCCATGCAATCGGGTCTACAGACTGCTGCAGCAAATAGTGCAGCCCGAATGGCACACGCTTGCCGACCCAACATCTGCTGAGTGGATGGAGGATTTTAACAGACGTGTGGCAGCGAGAGAATCTCTCACCCCAGCTGCTGCCGTTTCTGTTTCTGCTGCTGCTGCACATGCTTCTGCTGCTGAAGCCCCAGCTTCAGCTTCTTATGGCTCTCCTGCTGCAAAGGGGGCGTCAGCACTGGCACAAGCAGACACGGAAGCAGCGTCCTCAGCGACGCCGTCAGTAGGGGAAACAACAGAAGCAGCAGCACCACCACCAACAACAGCAGCAGCAGCTCCCGTCTCCGAATCTGAGGTGCAGTCTATTGCTTCTGCCTTTGATTCGTTTACTCCTCGCGAGCAGTTTTTGCTTCTCAGCAAAATCAATAACAAAATAGTAGGACAGACCATCGCAGCTGCCTTCCTTTCTCTCTCTCCTAATCTGCTTTTCTTGTTGCTTTGCTTCATGTGTTGTTGCTGCTCCTGAGTGCCTTTTTGCTGCTGTCATCCTTGGCTGATTAAACAATCTCGCTAGCATGTACACTGCTTCACCCGGTAGGCTTGCTCCTACTGCTGCTGGTGCTGCAAAGCTTGCTGCTGTTGCTGCTGCTGGTGCTTCGAGCAAAATCCAGACAATTGCAGCATTAGGCACGCTGCAGCTCCAAAGAGAAAAGCAACAAAATATACATCGACAGCAGCGGGGGCAAGGGGGACAAGAGCACCAGCGGCAGCAACAGCAGCCGCAAGAGCAGCAACACGTTGGAGGGAGTTGTTTTTGTCTATCTGGATGTCAGGACACCCCATGGGTGCAGGCTTTAAGGCGACTACGCGCAGTGGAGGAATGTGAAACATCTCGGCCTTTGGAATTAAATGAAGTCCTGAACTATGCAAGAAGGTGAGTAGACGTGTAACCAATGCTGCACCGGCACAAAGCAGAACCTGTACATACACCGCAGAAAGGTCTTCACACCGTATGCATACACTGGGGCGCTGTGCTACGTACTCCCCCCTTAGGTTTTAGCCTTTTTCAATAGGTGCTTTCGGTGTGTTTGTGTGTGTTTGCGTGTTGCTAATGCAATGTTCCTGTTCTGCTGCTGCTGCTGCTGGTGCAGGTTGGCGGGTAATGTGTCTGCTCCTCCTGAGACGAGTAACGTGGTGGATCCGGTGGCTCATAACGCTGCTTTTCCTCGTTATCACTTTTTGCCTTATCCCTCTGTAGAAGAGATGCAGGCATCGCGGCTGGCTGCATTAGCAGCAAGGCCTTATGGAGAAATTTGCTTTCCTCCAGAGGTGACAGCCCAGCTGGTGTACGTACACCGCAAGGCGGCTTTTAGCCTCATAGACACACCAAAGGGGCGCATTCCTATGTACGATACTTCGCTTCTCTCCGGATACACCTGGCGAGAAGATGGCCAAAAAGAATTGTTCTTTCAGCTGCGGATTGTATCCGCCACACCCTGCTGCTCCTTCTGGCTAGCTGCTGCTCCAGGACAGCTGCATCCGCAGCAGCAGCTGCCTGCTGGTTGCTGCTTCATCTCGTTGTCCCCTTTTAGACGACCTCTGCTGGTGCCGGGGCCCTTTCCAAAGACTGTGCGCGTCCAATGTAGAAAGAAAGAGAAAAAACCCTCCCGTATAACGCAAAGCTGCCTCAAGCTCAAGGGAGCAGCAGCAACAGCTGCTGCTTCACAGGGGCCTACTGCTGCCATTGCTGCTTCTCGCGGTCAACACCTGAGCGATGCAGGCAAAGGAGACAGGCATGCAGCAACAGACGGACAGGAAGGATTCAGGGCAGCCAACGAAGTCGGTAACTTGTGGCTGTTGGTGCTGCTGGTCCTAGTCTTGCTGCGAAATTGTCCCTTAGCAGCACCAGAATCAGCAACATGCGTTTTGGGGAGTTGGTGTCTTGTGTTGTTGTTTGCAGTCTACAAAACAAACAGAAGAAACACGACCAGCAGTGGCAGCAGCAGCAGCAGGACAAACCACTGGGCTGTCTCAATTCCACGGCCTGATGCTGGGCACTGCCAGACGGCGGCCTCAGCAGCGCAGAGAAGAAGAAGGCAGCAGTGAAAGCAGCAGCAGCAGCAGCAGTAGCGACGAAGGAGACTAGAGGCACCTCCTACGAAACTTCCAGGCCCTGTTGGCTAGCCAGATGGGTAGCTAGCTCCAGCTCCCTAGCTAGCTGGAGATCACATATAGTATATGTAAAACATAATATAGGGGCAATATATTATGAGCAAATGGCTGTATCTACAGATGTGCTATTTGCCTATTAAAAGTGACGTTGGTTAAGAAAGTTGCCGCAAGGCGACGGAATCTTCGTATTCTTTTTCAATATAAGCATATAAGTGCCACCTAACCAAATAGCTTAAATATTTAAAAACCATTGTTGGCGCATTAACGGCTATTCTGCTGGCATAGCTAGCTAGCTGGCTGGCTGTACGGACCCTGGTTAGGTTGCCGCCTATCACGCCAGCTGCGAGCTAGCTAGCTAGCTAGCAGTAGGCCTGCCTTTCGGCTAGCAAGCTGCAACAGCAGCCTGAAGCACAGATATTTGCTGACACTCAAGGGGCATATCCTCATGTATGTGCTAAATATTGTTTGAGTCACTCGCACTTTGTAAATAGGCAACGCAAGCAAGCATGTGTAAAACATATTTCACGCATACGTGTTCATTTACTTATTTAGTGCTGTATATATATT